GAGGTGTGGCCTTGTTGGAGTAGGTGTGGTTTTGTTGGAGGAAGTGTGTCACTGTGGGGGCAGGCGTTGAGGCTTCTTTTTCTCAAGCTTCACTCATCATGACAATCAATCTACTTCCTGTTATCATCCGATCAAGATGTAGCCAGCACCACATCTGCCTGCATGCCGCCATGCTCTCCACCATGATGATAATGGACTGAACCTCTGAACTGTAAGCCTCCACCTCAATTTTATAAGAGATGCCAGTAGTCTATTGTGGAGGTATCTTTGTGGATTTCTGGGGACCTCTCTAGCACTTTGTTTCTTCTTATTCCCATGGGGTCTTCATTTATCATGGTCTCTCTTTCCTTGTTCTCCCTCTCTGTTTTAGTTGATTAGCTTGAACTGTTTGGGAGGCCCCCAGACAGTGGGACCAGGACCTGTCCTTAGTGCATGAGCTGGCTTTTTGGAGCCTGGAGCCTATGCTGGGACACTTTGCTCAGCCTGGGTGAAGGGAGGAGGGGACTGGACCTGCCTCCACTGAATCTACCAGGCTGAGCTGAATCCCCAGGGCAGTCCTTGCCTTGGAGGAGATGGGAATGGGGGGGTGGATTGGGGGTGGGGGACGGGAGGAGGGAGGACAGGGGAATCCGTGGCTGATACGTAAAATTAAATTAATTACAAAATAAAAATAAAAAAGAGTTGCTATGGTCATGGTGTCTCTTCACAGCAGAAGGAACCCTAACTAAGACTGAGTGTAATTAGAAATTATACTGGTTTAGAGAAGTGGTAGGTTCTCTTCTAGGGTATGTGGCCGCACCAGCCACTGGGGGTGGGGCTAGGTTTATAATACTTGGCATGAGTCCCTCCTACGGAGTAGGACTTAAGTCCAACTTGGTGGCTGTTCGTTCCCACTATTGCGCCTTTGGGGATAGCTTGTCACACTGGTCATTATTGCTGTTCATAAGCATCACACTTGGTAGGACACTTGTTGTTTTTCTCCACTGGCAGCTTCTACAGCTCCTTCTGGTGCCATGAGGGGTTGTCCCCAGGGAGAAGAATATTTTTTTTTTTTTTTTTTGGTTTTTCGAGACAGGGTTTCTCTGTGTAGCTTTGCACCTTTCCTGGAACTCGCTTTGGAGACCAGGCTGGTCTCGAACTCACAGAGATCCGCCTGGCTCTGCCTCCCGAGTGCTGGGATTAAAGGCGTGCGCCACCACCGCCCGGCGAGAAGAATATTTTTAATTTTAGACTAACTTTAGATTTACAAGTACTTTATTTAGAGTTTTGCATATGTCATGTGAGTAAAAGGCAGCTATAGTTTAATTCTGTTTTCTGCTCTTTTATCTGTTAAAGCAATGTTAACGACATAAAATAAATTGAAAATATTTTTATCTTCTTCAGAGTTCTAAAGTCTCCCCTATTTCTGCCCTTTGTGTATTCAGTAATTTACACAACGTTGTATTCATTTCTTTGAAAACACGAAGGGCTATCTTATTTCACTGACTCTAATATGCAATTTCCCTTAATTTTTAGACAGATAAGAAAGAAGAAAACTGCTTGCCAGAATATAAATATAAGAAATCTTGTACTTTAGGACTTTTCATTTTACTTATTAAAACCTTATTGGAATGCCTAAGATACGATGTTTGTTTGTTTGTTTAGATATTTGAGACAGACTGGCCTTCTCTTCACTATGTAGCCACTGATGTCCTTAAATTCCTGATCCTTCTGCGTTCATCTTCCAAGTACTGGGTTTTTGGTGTATGCCATCATGCCTGGTCTATGCAGTGCTAGGGCTTTGTGTAGGCTAAGCTGGTACTAACTCAAGACAGGTTTGTAAAAAGTTGCTATTGATATATTATTTACATGTGTAAAATAAATATAAGTTTTTCCTAAACTTCCCTTACATTCAGATCTTCATTCTTCTGAATCCCCTTCAGACTCCAAATCATTTTTGTTCACCTGTTGCCACCCATCAAGGACTCATGGGGCAGGTCAGTGGAGGCTACAAAGTTGTCTGAGTTTTTCCTTTCTCAAGTGCTCAAATGTTTCTGGAAGTTGTGCTGTGCACACACCATGCCAACAATTACATCACCCTAGGCAATGAGTTCAGGTATCTCCCAAGTTCCGAGGTGCCAAAGTAGGGAGAGCTCAGGTGTGGGTGTGGATGAAACAGCACCTGGTTTCTCTTTTTTTTTTTTTTGGTATATTAAAATCTATATTTTGTGTGTTTTCATTTGCAACATTCTTTTTTTTTGTTTGTTTGTTTTTTGTTTTTTTTTTAATTTATTTTAATTTATTTTGCAATACAATTCAGTTCTACATATCAGCCACGATTCCCTTGTTCTCCCCCCTCCCGTCCCCCTCACCTTACCCCCAACGCCCCCCCCCCCCCCCATTCCCATCTCCTCCAGGGCAAAGCCTTCCCCACAGACTGAGGTCAACCTGGTAGACTCAGTCCAGGTAGGTCTAGTCCCCTCCTCCCAGGCCGAGCCAAACAATCCTGCATAGGCCCCAGGTTTCAAACAGCCAACTCATGCAATGAGCACAAGATCTGGTCCCACTGCCTGGATGCCTCCCAAACAGATCAAGCCAATCAACTGTCTCACCCATTCGGAGGGCCTGATCCAGTGGGGACCCCTCAGCCATTGGTTCATAGTTCATGTGTTTCCATTCATTTGGCTATTTGTCCCTGTGCTTTATCCAACCTTGGTCTCAACAATTCTCGCTCATATAAACCCTCCTCATTCTCGTTAATTGGACTCCCAGAGATCCACCCAGGGCCTAGTCATGGATCTCTGCATCCAGATCCCTCAGTAGTTGGATGAGGTTTCTAGCACGACAATTAGGGTGTTTGGCCATCCCATCACCAGAGTAGGTCAGTTCGGGCTGTCTCTCGACCATTGCCGGCAGTCTGTTGTGTGGGTATCTTTGTGGATTTCTGTGGGCCTCTCTAGCACTTTGCTTCTTCCTGTTCTCATGTGGTCTTCATTTACCATGGTCTCCTATTCCTTGTTCTCCCTCTCTGTTGTTGATCCAGCTGGGATCTCCCGCTCCCCCAGGCTCTCTTTCCCTCGACCCTCGCCTTTCATTACCCCCACTCATGTCCAGGCTGTTCATGTAGATCTCATTCCATTTCTCTGTCATTGGGCGATCCCTGTGTCTTTCTTGGGGTCCTGTTTTCCGGGTAGCCTCCCTGGTGATGTGAGTAGCAGACAATTCATCCTTGTTTCATGTCTAGTATCCTGCTATGAGTGAGTACATACCATGTTTGTCTTTCTGAGTCTGGGTTACCTCACTCAGGATGATTTTTTCTAGATCCATCCATTTGTCTGCAAACCTCATGATGCCATTGTTTTTTTCTGCTGAGTAGTATTCCATTGTGTATATGTACCACATTTTGTTTATCCATTCTTCAGTTGAAGGGCATCTGGGTTGTTTCCATGTTCTGGCTATTACAAACAATGCTGATATGAACATAGCTGAACAAGTGCTCTTATGGTGTGGTTGAGCATTTCTTGGGTATATGCCCAAGAGTGGTATAGCTGGATCTTGGGGGAGATTGATTCCCAATTTTCTAAGAAAGCGCCATATTGATTTCCAAAGTGGTTGTACAAGCTTGCTTTCCCACCAGCAGTGGAGGAGAGTTCCCCTAGCTCCACATCCTCTCCAGCATAAGGTGTCTTCAGTGTTTTTGATCTTAGCCATTCTGACAGGCGTAAGGTGGTATCTCAGAGTTGTTTTGATTTGCATTTCCCTGATGATTAGGGATGTTGAGCAATTCCTTAAATGTCTTTCAGCCATTTGAGTTTCCTCTGTTGAGAATTCTCTGTTTAGTTCTATAGCCCATTTCTTAATTGGACTGTTGGGCATTTTGATGTCTAATTTCTTGAGTTCCTTATATATTCTGGATATCAGTCTTCTGTCAGATGTGGGGTTGGTGAAGATCTTTTCCCATTCTGTAGGCACTGTACCCTCAACACCTAAACTGTAGGCAAGTAGCTTTTTCCATCTGAAACTATTTATGTTTTCTGTTTGTCTGCTTATCTCTGCTTCATTTCCACAGCCACTCTTTGGGCCTATGTCACCCAAGACTTTGGGGTGGATGACAGCATAACCCTTAGAGTGGTGCTTCATGTCCTCTCTTGTTTCTTATGATCCTGTTTTACATGTTTTCTCAAATCCGCATTCTGACCTTGAGCCACTGTATAATTTATTCCATCCCGATGCCGTCTATTATTGACTGATATGTGCCAACTGCCTCCAGAGCTCGAGCTGCTCTTTCCTCGCATCAGCACCACACTCTAAATATCCTGGGGTGTCAGCATAAATGTCACTGCTTTATAGATAGCTTCCCAATCTCTCTCCTAACTTGTTCCCTGCTCTTGTTATTCTCTAGTTCCAAGTACACTCACTCCAAGAATAGATTGTGGTGGCATTTCTCATCTTGTACTTCCCCTGCGCCAACTTCCTTTTGTCTTATGTCATGAATGTCAACTGGACGTTGTCATCTTCCTTTCAGAGTCCCCCCTGCCTCATCATCTTTTCCAGGGTCTGCTTACTGTGATTTATTCCAACCTAGTGGACAGAACATGCTAATTATACCCAGCATACAGTTTTGTTTCATCGTCATTGGTTAATATAGTTGGTGTTAGATAAATTGCAATTTATGTTAAGTGACTTCTGAAGTCAGTTGTCCCCCTCCTGAACACTGGGAGGTGGGGAGCTGCAGTTGTCCATGGCTCCCAAGTGTTTGAGAAAGACAGGCTTATAAAACTGAGAAGAGAGTTGAAAGCAGATTTATAGTTCATATAATTACCACATCTAAAAGACTTGAGAAACAGAGGTAGAAGATGAAGAAGCCTGTCTATGGTTTAGCCCTGCCGAGTGTAACATTAAATTGTCTCAATCAGTAGGAAGTCATTAGTGTGTGATTTGAGTCTCTGTTTTCCATTTAAACCATAAATACCACTGCAACTTTTAGATTGTGAGGAGGAGCATGTGGTAAAAAGCAAAGCTCTATGCTGACTCATTTTTTTTCAGGTGACATTATCCTTGGGAAGCTCATGCTGACACGTTGGGTACCAAGGCTCCAGCATTCTGGTTCCTTCCGGGCTGAAGAGATGAGCGCTGCAACATGACAGACATGTTAATGGGAACAACAGATTCTGTCTTCTATCAGCCATGGCCTGATGGTGTGCTTTGGATTTCTGAGTGATGAGGTGGCCCAGGAATATTGAGGACTGTAAGCATGGAACCTATGTGGGGCTTGAGACTTCGCAACACACAAGTGCCTGTTATCTGCTCTGTGAGAAGGTAAGCGACGGCCAGGGTGCCCTAAATCCTCTAGGTTTTAGGGGGGGGGCTAGAAGAGAGAAATTTATTAGTGTAACTTCAAGGGGTGAAAAGTTGCTGTACATGTTCCATCTTGTGGAGAGGCTCCTTATGACTTAGGAAGTAAACAAAACTTACAAGCTCAAGTAAAACAACTCACATATTCCTGAAATTTACAAAGCTCAAAAGGCTTCTTCCAAGGTTGTATAAGCAGTAAGGACCACCCCGATAGGAGACTCTGACCGGTTGAGTTGTCTTCGAGTTCCTCAGGGTGTTCCAGTGAGGCAGATTTTGAGACTCATCACCCATGCTGGGTGCTAGATTTGGTTTCATTGTTGTGATACATCATTACTAAAAGCAACTTGGAGAGGAAAGGCTTTATTTGGCTTATACTTCTATGTCAAAGTTATTCATGAAGAGAAGTCAGGGCAGGAACTCAAGGCAGGATCCCAGAGGTAGGGACCAATGCAGATGCCATGGAAGAGTGCTACTTCCTGGCTTGCTCAGGGTACTTTATTATATAACCCAGGACCACCTGCTAAGGGTCTAAAAAGTGGGCTAGGCCCTCCCACATCAACCGTTAATCAAATAAATGACCCACAGACTTGCCTGCAGGCCAATCTAATAGAGGAAATTCCTTAATTAATGTTCCTTCTTAGATTACTCTAGCCTGTGTCAAGGTGACAAGTTCCTAGCCAGCACAAGGGGCTATGCTTTTTGGTGATGCTGCTGCCTTTGAGTCATCCAATGCCATGTCAGTAACCCCAATAAATTCACCAACTCACTATGCTAGCCTTCAGTGGAATTGTCCCTTTGGTCTGTCATTGGTACCCTATCTGTGGTGAAAAGATGTCTGTTCAGATCTCCCTGGGGAAAGTCACACAACCATGGCAGCACCTGTTAGAAAAAGGGCATCTGGAAATCATGACAGGAAATCCATGAAACTTGAGTAGGCCAGTCATAATTAAGAAGGACTTTCTCCCCTTCATCTGTTTTCCAGACTATTTCAAACATGTCTCTGAACACATATAGGGCTGTGTGTAATAAAATCTGACAGGTGGTTAATACGTAGAATGTGATATGTTGCTGTTGGCAGGTCTCCTTATCTAAAAGGGTTTCCGCGGTGCAGCCTGCCTTCTGTTCCTATGCAAAGCGGTGGCTGCTTAACCTGGAGAGCAGGTAAGCTGCTGGGTCTGTCGTGGAGACTGTAAATGGTCCATTGGCTCAGGATCAAGGTAAATTGAATTTATACATGAGGAATCACTCACACTGCCTTGAGCTGCTTTCCTTCTTCCTCGGGAAGCAAGCCCTGGGGACTGAGACTGTCATGTCCAGACAAGAGATTTCCCTGGTATGGCACAGACGAGTCACAGTGGGGCCTGATGTGCCTGAGAAGCAGGGCCTTCCTGCCCCTCCTGCCTGCTGGTAGACAAGAGAGAAGACTGATGTGGGAATGATAGACCACTGAGGGTATTCCTGTGAGCAGGAGAAGTCAGGCTCCCACGGGTGTTTTGTTCCATATTGTCTCCTGTATTCCCCTTGCTCAATACTTGTATATACTTACGTGTACCTGGTCTTTCTTTGTACTGCCAACTCCCGAGTAATGACATTGAGACGTTTTATTAATTATGAAAGTTTGGCCTTAGCTTAGGCTTGTTCCTGACTAGCTCTTAAAACTTAATTAACCCGTTTATTTTAACCTACTTTCTGTCACTGGCTCGTTACCTCAGTATTATTCGTCCCATTTCCTCTGCATCTGGCTAGTGAATCTCTCGCCTCAGATTGTTTCCCAGAGTTCCTATCTCTGCCCAGAAGTGCCGCCTATCTTCTCCTGCCAAGCTATTGGCCATTCCAGCTCTGTATTAAACCAATCAGAGGGTGTGTTAGGTGGGGGAAGTAAAACAGAGACACATCTTTGTGCAGTACAAAAGATTTTTTTATATACAATCTTTATGATATACAAAAAGATTATCCCAACACTTATGCAAGTGGTATCATGTACCTCATGTGCCTCAGGACTGGTTTCTTCAGAGCCCAGGAAGAGGTTTTCTTGCTGATGCTTCTATTAGAATTGTTTTCTTTTTAAAAAACTATGATCCTTCTCCATGGTCTAGCTTGGTGAGTTTGCCTGTGAGGATCCCATCTTCCATGAGCCTTCCTTAAACCCCAAGATCTAGCTTGGACCCCCTTTGCCCAAGAATTAAGGCCAACAGTTAACAAGTGGGACTCTATAAAGGTAAAATACTTCTGCATAGCCAAAGATATAATCAATCCGGTGAAGAGGAGTCCCACAAAATGGGGGAGAATCTTTGCCAAATATACATCTGACAGAGGATTTGCATACAGAATGTACAAAGAACTCAAAAAAGAAACAAAGTAAATAAAAAAAAAGACTGATTCAAAAAGTGACCCTGAACTTGAGAGTCCTCAAAGCTGGGAAATATCTGAAAAATATTCACTATCCCTAGAAATTAGGGAAATGCAAATCAAAATTTTCTTCTACCCCAGGCTGAATTGGAAAGATCAATAAAACAACCATTAGGAAATATAACAACCTGTGTGTGTGTGTGTGTGTGTGTGTGTGTGTGTGTGTGTGTGTGTGTATGTGTATTATAATATAACAAGAAATAAAACAGCCAGTAAGAAAGGATGTAAGGGAAGGGAAACCCTGATTCAGTGTTGGTGGAACTGCAAACTGCTTCAGCCCCTCTAGAAATCAGTGTGGCGATTTCCCATATGAGTCAGATGTTCCACTTCTTGATATAGACCCAAAGTACACCACATTCCCCATATACTTGCTCAGTTATGTTAATTGACATTCTATTCGTAATAGCCATAAATGGAAAAAGCCTGAAAGGCCTTCACCTGGTGATAAAATAATGGAGATGTGGTGTGTGTGTGTGTGTGTGTATATATATATATATATATATATATATATATATATATTACTACATTATGAGAATTCCTCTTTCCAGTTGTTGCTCAGCGTTGTCCAAGTGACTCCCAAAATATTACAGGCTGTTGTTGTTCCAGGTTGCTCCCCCAGAGCTCTAAGTTAAGTCCCTGTTGTTGAAGACATCATGCACTTTCAGACACTGGGCTCAGATGCTTCTGAGGTGGGACTGACCTGAAAGCCTCCTCTGTGATGATTAGCTTTCATGGTCCTAGAAGGATCCATGCAAGCTTCCACAGGAGGCAAACATTCAGCATTTCTACTCAGCTATAATACCTATGAACCACATTAACGACCAGCATGGCATGACCACCCTAATGGAATACTGGTGGCACACATTCCTTGGCAGTAATCAACAGCTCTCTTATTGGATTTAAAATCAGCTCAACAGGAGGGATACCGTGTCTGGTACTGGAAACCTGGGCAGCCACTCAGGACTAGTGAAGTGCTACAACTATTACCTTGATGAACCAGCATGATCGCTCACTAATTTCTAAATATTGCCTTTACCCATACTAAGTGTAGTCCTCAGCCTCATCAAGGAAACTTCTCTTTGCAATGGATAGAGGTTATTACAGAAAACCACAACCAACCAAAATGCAGAGTTGTGGAACCCAGTCCCAATGGATAAATCTACAAGACAACTCTTCATCTAAGGCTCAGGAATCATTGTGGAAGAGGGGGCTGAGAAGTTTTAAAACCCAGAGGATTAGAAAGTTGGCTGTAAGATCATGTCTCCTGGCAATGTTGGAAGTTATATCCACAAAGTTTCACTAATGATGGCCTAAACATGAGCTGAATAAGGATAGCAACAACTGACATGCTAATTTGGATGACAGAAAGCCCAGGAGACCTCAGCACTATGCAAAAATCAAAACAAAAACCAAACAAAACCATGGCATGGGAGACTAAAAAATCCTGAGATGGGGAGAAATAGTTTTCCCCAGGGAAGAGCACACCAATTGGGTATGTAATATCAAGTGGTCAGCTCTAAAAATATATTCATACAAGTGACATTATATAGACTGAACAGGCCGTATTCATGTATTTAGGAATATATGTACACATGTATGTATGTAACAACAATTAATGAAAAAAGAGGCCCTTGTATTTGAAAGAGAGCAAGGAGGGGCATATGGGAGGGTTTGGATGGAGGAAGGGCAAAATGATGTGATATCCTGTGTTCTCAAAAAGTAAAATAAATAATTAAGAAAGTAGTCTAGTGTTATAAGTAAAAAAATAGCGTTTGAAACACAACGGCCAATGGAGTCAAGTTTTTGCCGTGTGTTATTGGCCTGTCTGATTTTCCTTTTATTAAATAACTATGAAGTCTATCTTTTATTTTTTCTAATGTGTTACTTTTCTTTACTGTGAGGTTTTTTTGGGGGGTTGTTAGTTGCTGTGCCTCTGTTAATCATGTGTTGCCATTAATTATTTGTGTCTTTTCACCTTGGGTTGTCTGTTGATGAAAAGACATTCTGAGATTCAATATGGGTGAATTTATCACTTTTTTTTTTTACAGTGGGTGCTTTTATTGTACTAAGAGGACCTGAGGCTATAATGATACTCTGTCCTGTTTTCTTCTGACATTTTAACATTTTTCTGTTTCTAATGATGTCTGGCTTGAAGTAAGAGGTCGGTTTTATATTGTTTCCCACAGAGACAATCAAATTCCTTCTGTACCCATTGATCAGGTGGCTCCTTCCACATCCAAAGAAAATTAATTTATATAAATCCACAAAAATTATTACATTTATTTATGTTGTGTATGTGTTTAAGTGGCACAGTGTGTGTGTGTGTGTGTGTGTGTGTGTGTGTGTGTGTGTGTGTGTGTAAATTAAATGACAGCCTGCAGGAGTTGGTTCTCTCTCTCTCCTATGTAAATCCCAGGGATCTAGGTCAGGTTGTCGGGCTCAGTGGCAAGTGTCTGTACCCTCCGAGCCACGTTGCTGTCACCAAAACTGTTTTATTATAGTTGGTGAGACATTGTGATTTCTGTCTAGGTTCACTTCGTGATGGAATATACAAATGTGTGATTTTTACCTTTGTATCAATCACAGCATGTTTTCTATTAAATATATTGGTTTGTTTCTCCCACCAAATTTTGAGTTATAGAGTTGGGGAACTTTGTAGCTAGAGTTTTCCTGCCTGGCCCACAGTCAGGACAAATCTCTCTCACCCGCTGGTCCCACAGCCACTCAGACCCGACCAAGTAAACACAGAGACTTATATTGCTTCCAAACTGTATGGCCGTGGCAGGCTTCTTACTAACTGTTCTTACAGCTTAAATTAATCCATTTCCATTAATCTATACCTTGCCACGTGGCTTGTGGCTTACCGGCATCTTCACATGCTGTTTGTCATCGTGGCGGCTGGCAGTGTCTCTCTGACTCAGCCTTCCACTTCCCAGCTTTATTCTCCTCCTTGTCCCGCCTACACTTCCTGCCTAGCCAATGGCCAATTAGTGTTTTATTTATAGACTAATCAGCAACACATTTGCCATACAGAACATCCCACAGCAGAACTATGTCTTCTTTTTATTTATATCCTTTAAAACAGTGTTTGCTTATTAAGTAAACAGTGAATTATGTTCAGCTGAAGTTATAATACCCCTGGTACTGGAGGGAACAGTAACACAGAAATATTTTTTCATAGGATGCTGTTCAGAGATAATGTTTCCACGTCATCTGTAGTTCTGACATGCTATGTCTTTTCTTATTTATCTCCAGTTCTGCAGTGTTGTTCACGAAGTTTTCAGAGTTAGGAGGTGGTAAAGCACCTGAGTGTGCTCTTGTGTACTTTAGTCACAAATTAATTCCCAGCATAGTTTTAAAGATAATCAGCAGTAGCTAATATTAAAAAAGATTGGAAGTGTAGAGAAGCACGCTGCTTCTCTACAGTTTCCAGTGTTTCCAGTGGCCTGCTCGAGGGGAGTAGAGTTGTGAGGGAGAGAGAAAAGTGTTGGTAGAAACAAGACCAAGTTGTTTTGTTTCCTGGTTAGCTGGGGGCAAAAGTGAGGGAGGAAGGGAGCCTTCCTGTAGGAGGCTGGAGAAACAGAAGTGACATTTACTAAGGCCTGAAACCTTGGAGATACTTGGGTTTTGACATGGATTTAAAGGTGATTTTGACTGAGTCCTGCCTACCCCAGTCACATGGCATCCTGCACCCTAGCCCATTCTACCACAGACCTCCCCTTCTTCTTTTCTTAAGAATGACACCCACAAGG